TCTCTGTGTACTGACTGCTCTGAGCAGGGATATCGTCCTCCAGGTCTGGTGGGCCAGGATGTGGATCTCTTCCTCCCCCTTCAAATGCTCCTGTGTGGTCTGATCAGACATGTCCCTCTCTGTGAGCTGCAGCTTCAGAGCTGTCCTCTGAAGTAAATTCTTCTGAGGGGAGGGGCAGCTGTGCACGTAGCATGGATTGGGGCCGGCCCTCAGACCTCTCTACTGGTTCCGTTGTAGGTATGTTTGCATTCACATCTTAGAGCACCGGGTTGAAGCCTGGTCCCTCATAGGAGTAGAAATCCATCTTCTCCCTCCAGACAGCTGGTGGTTTCAAACTGCTGACCTGGCAGTTAGCAGCGCAGCGCTTAATCACAGCGCCACCAGGGCTCCCTAGACGATGTATAGTGTTTTCATATACATAACCACACTTAATCTTTATAGAAACCCTTCCCATTTCATGGGCAGGAAAAGTGAGGATAAAAGCAACTCAATGTCCCCAATGTCACAGAGCTAATTCCAGGTCTACCCTACTCTAAATCTGATGCTCCTGAAGCCTATTACTAAATGTCGACACGTCATTATTACTGAAGCTATCCAAGAAAATTCAAACAGCAGGTGTTAGGAAATATAAACTCAGGGGATTTAAGCTTTCACACATTGGCTGACCTGAAGAAATTTTGTAAGGGAATGATGGGCTGTGTTTTGGGGGTGGGTGGAGGGGGTTGTAGTCTTCTGGTAATTTATGACTTTGCAAATGATTTTCTACTAGGGCGACTTACTACCTTGTAGTCCCTCTCCTTCAATCTCAGAGTTGGGAGATGGTCAACTATTCCAGACACCCGTTTTCTGCCCTTGCTTGCGTTACTTTCAAGGTATCTTGCCTCTTCACAGTGAGGGCGTTACGCTGAAGAACTATATTTTCTTTTCTTCTTTCATTCCACGTGGACGGAAATCTTTTTAATTTTTGGAAACGATTCAGACACTTGACCCCTGATTTCTGAACCTCACAACTCGAGTTGAAAAAAGGTGGCTGAGAGAAATTAAAAGAGTTGGCAGCTAATTGACACGACTCCAACGTCCCAACTTCAAGGTAAACAGCATCCAACCCCTCACCCCCGCTTTCCAGTGTTCAAATTAGCAACAAGGGACAACTCCCCTACTTCGCTCCTCTCCCTCCCAGAACATCCGGTTTGATGCACGTGTTTCTGAGCGGATCCAAAAGCTGCCTGACCACTGTTTTTACACACACCCCCCTTTGAGCTCCATTTAAAAAAATGATCATAAAACCCAAACCGGTCGCATTAGCAGCGACAGCACGCGGAAGGCGGCGAGGGCGGCGCCCGCGGTGGGGCCCGAACCGAAGCCGTGTCGGCACTCACCCGCTTAGCCGGAGCCGGGAGGGGTCCGAGGAGCGTCTGGGGGGCGGCGGCCTGGGCCTCAAACACGTTGAGGAGCAAATCCTCAGCGGCGGCCATGGCTGGCCACAGCGGAGGCGCTCGAGCCAGAAGGCGGGGGCACGGACGCCGGCGAGACCCGAGGAGTCCCGAGCCGCCCGGGACCTGAGACTGGGGTTCCGGCTCCTACTCCAGCCCACGTGGGACGCGCGCTAGGACCCCACGTAGCTGCCCCCGCCGAGTCCTGTAGCCGCTGCCCCTTCCCGGGCCCAGAGAGGCTCACAAAACCAACACACCGTCAGTGATCGCCACCCCCGTGCCGAGGCGGGAGGGCGTTCGTCGAAGTGCACCTGCTGGCAGGTGCGAAAGCGAACGCGCCCAGAGGGTGAGGGACGCCGACGAAAAGAAAGTGACAACCCCGTCCCGCGGCTTGGTTTATTGTCGACGTGCAACATCACGTTTAACTGGGGGCAGTTAACGCTTGCAAAGGCCTTTGATTGCTTTTAAGATGCAAGCGGAACCTACCACCTGGTTAGTTTGCTCTGCACCAACTCATTGCCTAGAGAAGCCCCCGGGAGCTCCAAGAGGGAAGACCCTTCGCCTGCCAGGTGGTGAACTTAAGGTCAAGTCTCCTCTTTGAGCATCCTTTTCTTGTTCTTTTTTGACCCGCTTCCAACCGAGGATGCTTAGATTGGGCCCACAGAGGCGCATTTTCTAGACAGGCAGCTCCTCGGTCACCTGGCAGGGCTGGGTCGCCAGGCAACGGCGGGGTCCTTCCTGGCTC